AAACCAGAAACTCAGTGTGAAAAGGAGCGCAAGATAGCGAGCTCTGCAGCCGTTCCAAACATCTACATACCMGCTTGCGACAACCAGGGAAACTTTGTTGCAACACAGTGTTTTGACCACGGTACATATGGGAAACAGTGCTGGTGCGTCGACAAATCTGGACAGGAGATCAAAGGAACAAGAACTCACGGAGGTTCTGAACCCACTTGTGGTAAGAAATGGTCTCATTGTTTCGAAGTTCAAAACGTGTATTCATGAAGTTTCCCTACTGAATTTCCCACTTCTTTTCAGAAAACGCTCAACCAGCTGTAGTCAAACCAATGACTTGTGMTCAGGGACCTTATGGATGTTGTTCGGATGGCCTTACACCGGCTAAGGGACCAAACAAAGAAGGGTGCCCTGTGGTACTACAGAAAACGACCCCCAAGCCATCCAAATGCAAAGAAGAACAAGCAAAGGCATCATTGGGTGTGATGGATATTTTCATTCCTGAGTGTAAACCCAATGGACAGTACAATGAGGTTCAATGCTACACGTTTCCTGTTACCGGCAAGACCCAATGTTGGTGTGTTGACGTCGACTCGGGCGTAGAGCAAGCAGGAACAAGACTTGATGAAAGGCAGCCCAATTGTCTGCAAAGTACCACGACTAGTGCTCCAGTCACGACCCCTGCTGTTCCTCCWGCGCTTATTGTATGCGTGGTGACTGTATACAGGTGCTGTCCCGATGGGGTTACTGCAGCMAAAGGACCAAACAACCAAGGCTGTCCTGTACTMACTACGCCTCCTCCTGTACCACTGGAAACCAGTCCAACAGTACCTCCAGGTAACTCAATTATCTATATAGCAGTAACTTTTATATAAAGAGATAACTTTCAATTGTAAACAAAGAGAAAATGTGTCGTTTTGAAAGTTGAGCACTAGTTTCTTACAGAGGGATCAACGCTACTACGTTCCTTTCTTTCAACGTGACTCAGTTATGTTTTGGGTAACGTTTTTATCTTAGAAACACCGACTCATCTCTCAATAGTTCGCTCTTTATAACGTTTCCTGTGG